GATTGATTCGACTTCCCACTTCCAACACATTATGGCCTAACAGAAGAACAGATATGACCTTTTCCTGGGACAAATATTATTTACTGTAGGTTCTATTGTGGTTTTTACATACAATATCCAGCATACAATAAATTATGAGAAATGTTAAGAAGCAATAAATTATAACCCAGGATCAAGAGAGGAAATAGTCAATAAAAGCAGACCCAGAGATGGTTGAAATTATCAAGGAGGGGCTTTACAATGTCTACGATAAATATGTAGGGTATTTATTTGAAAAGGTAGACAATGTATGGTAACAGTTGAAGAATTTCAATAAAGAGATGGAAAGTATTTAAAAATTTTTCAAAATGAAAATGCTAGGATTAGAAAATACATCATAAATGAAGAACTTATCCAATGGGATTAATAGCAGACTAGACACAGTATAACAAATATTGTTCAGCATGAACAGCAACAGAAATTATCACACATTGCTGGTAGATGTGTAAAATATCACAATGACTTTGGATAATTTTTTGTCAGCCTCTTATAAAAAATAAACATGCATCTGTACTATGATCCATTATTTTCACTACTAGGTATTTACCCAAGAGAAATGAAAACACAGGTCCACAAAAAGAGACTTCCATAGAATGATAATAACATCATTATTCATAACAGCCAAAACTGGAGAACAACTCAAATGTCAATCATTTGGGGAATGGATAAACAAAGTGGTATATTCATATAAAAAAATTGCAGCTTCAAAATAAGAATGTAACACATGGATGAATCTCAAAGACATTATACTCAGTAAAGCCAGACACAAAACGGTACATACTGTGTTTTCCCATTTGTATAAAGTCATAAGAAACAAATCTAATCTATATTGATAGAAATCAGGAAGCAGTTGCCAGTGGGGATTGATGGGAAGAGAAGACAAACGAATTTCTGGGGTGAAAGAAAATCTTACATATTTTTGGGGTACTGATTATATGAGACTATAAATTTTAACAAGAATTGGACACCTAAGATCTATGTATTTTGTTGTATATAATTTGCACCTATATCATAAAATATCTGTTCTTAGAGTTGAGGCTATGTAACTAACAAAGAAACACCAACATATAGTGGCTTATATAAAACCAAAGTTTATTTTTCTCTCACATAACAGTTAAGCTGTTCTGAGCTGGAGGAGTTACTCTGATCAAAGTAGTCACTCAGGGAACAACATTCATATATTCTTTTTGCTCTGCTATTCCCTAAAATTGTCTTCGACTGCATGATCAAAACAGGGTTGCTACTATGTTCATGTTCTAGTTCATGAGTAGAGAAAAACAACCCATGGAAGTTCATTTTAATTTGAGATGACCTGGAATTCAAACACATGACATCCACTCCCATTCCAAAAGCTGAAAGTTAGTCACATGGTCACTCCTAGCAGAACACTCATTATCTGAGAGTTAAGGCAAGGGAGCTGGAAGAGCATTAAGAAAAGAAAAGGTAAAATACAGTCACCTAAGAGAGTGGGGAAGTTAACTGGGGAAATTAGTATGGCTTTATTTATTATATTTTATTTTTTTAATTCAAGTTTATTGGGGTGACAATTGTTAGTAAAGTTACATAGGTTTCAGGTGTATAATTCTGTAATACATCATCTATATATCACATTGGAATACTGTTCTGCCATAAGAGAAGATGAAATAGTGCCACATTTGCGACAACATGGATGGATCTTGAGATTATAATGCTAAACGAAATAAGTCAGACAGAAAAAGTTGAGAACCATATGATTTCATGGATACGTAGTATATAAAACTGAAAACAACAAAAGAATGAGACAAACAAATGAAGAAACAAAAACTCATAGACACAGACAATAGTGTAGTGGTTACCAGAGGGTAAGGGGGGAGGGGGTGGTAGATGAGGGTAAAGGGGGTCAAATATATGGTGACGGAAATAGTATGGCTTTAGAAGCACTGAAGGCCTACTTTAGGTTTGTGGTTAGGAATTTCAAGTGAGACCAATTAAAACAGAGTGGTTTTGTTTCTAACCATGCTCAGCCCTGCCATACACAGATGGAATCGCCTGAGAGTTGTATTCAACCTGGGGTGGCTTTGCTAAAGGAATATAATGAAATGAGAGATGAGCAATTGTGAGTGTGTGTATGGGATTGATTATAATGATTGACCACTTTGCAGACAAATAAACAGGCTCATAGAAGGTCAGTGATTCACCCAGTGTCATGAACCTAGAAATGTGTAGAGCCAGGGGTTGAACCCAGGTCAACCTATTGACAATTTCTGTCCTTATTACATTGTAGCGCAGTGAATCATTGCTTTACATCAGAGCAGAACAATACAATTTGATGGATCAAATAATGCCTATGTATCAGGGAAGTAGATGTACAACTTTACACAGCAGTCATCAACTATTTGACTTCAGAATTAAGGAGAAAAATGGTATTTAAATAGAAAAATATGTGAATGATATAAAATAAAAAGAACTCTCTAATGGATCTAACCAGATCCTAATTTACTTTAAAATTGATTTAAAAGGTACTTTGTGATCTAGTGTGACTAGACGAGTCCAACCACTTGTTTTTGTAAATGAAGAGACTAAGATCTAGAAAATATAAGGCAGGGCCTGAACTAGAACAATGGTCTCCTGATATCTAAGCTATCATTCTTTCCACTACATGATGCAATTTTAGAGGGTTTAGATGTCATCCTGCCTAATGCCAAAAAGATTGGACAGATGACCTCCTGACACTGCCTTCATTCTTTTAAGGTATAGTCTCTGATTCTATAATACCTGGCACAAGATTATACACACTGATACCTAGTAACGGTATTATCTTACCCTCTTTTTCTTCTAGCTTTATTGAGGTATGCTTGACACATAAAAATTACTTATACTTAAGGTGTATAATGTGATGATTTTATATTTATATACATTGTGAAATGCTTACCACAACCAAGCTATCTTAGCCTCTTCATGACTCTTTGTATCCTTTATCCTAAAGATTCATGCAGGCTAAGAATTCAATGTATTAATTTGGCTGTTTTGAGAAAAAGACCAAGTAAATATAAATAAGGGATGCTAATTTTAGTTAAGTTTGTAATAGAAAAGATAGCAAGTTTTCCACAATCTCCTAAATAATGGTCAACTGAAGAAATCTGAAGATGAGCTTAAGAACTGCAACTGGTAGGCACTGCTTGTTGAATTTTTTTCTCACATTGCTGAATAATTTCACATTACTTAGGCTGTGTCATTATGTATTTCTATCACAATAGGGGGAAAACATTAAACTAATGAATGTCGTGCCTCGTTTGTCAAGATCTGAGTCACTGGCATGAAGCATCTTTCAATGTAAATGCAATTTGGGAGATTCAACCACACTTCTATTTGAAAATACCCAAGTGGTTAGTACTGGGCCATTTTACTAATACATTGAACATTAAAAATAATTTGACATATGGGAAAGATATTAGAGATTAGATGGTTAAAAAGGAAGACTAAAAGGCTGCATGTTTTATTTTTACAAGCCACAGCTTCTCCTTTTGTGAAGAACAGCAAGGCTTTTCTGAAAAGGGGTACTTATAGAATGTCATACTGTTTAAAATGTTATGAAGAAATCAATTCCCATTTTCCTAGACACTTCTTTCAAGATGCTGCTCTTGCAAGCATCAAGTGGGTGTCCTTCACTGTAAACACCTCGGGACATGAAGGAATCGATACACACAGAGTTGAAGATGATGAGTAAACTGGCTAATCCATATCTGGAGTGTCAAACTACCGAGGCCAGGAAAAACTTCAGGGCAGGGGAGGTAGAAATAACAAAAACACTGAAGGAAGAAGCAGTTGTCAGACCTCCCCTTTCCTACCCCTGCTTATAAAATTAGGATCTCCAAAGCCCCATAAAGAAAAGAGAAGAGAAATTAAGCCTAGGAAAATGGGAAGGGACAGAGGTTTTACAGGATTCGTGAGGTAGTCTTTTCTGTCAAATATTGGGTGTGAATTGTTGAATAGTAGAGCTCGTGTCTGAATCCTGAAACATTATGTGTACACCTGGAGGAGAATGGAGCTGAGACCTGCCTGGACATCTGTTCACCATGGCTGCGTGGCCTGGCTAGAAGGACTGGTTCTTACTTGACGCACTATGCAGTGGGGTACAAGAGTCTCATGTTAAAGATAACCTTGCCATATCCTAAAGTGACCTCTAGTATTCCCACCTCCTAGTCGTGCCTTTGTGTAATCCCCTCCTCCTGAGAGTGGATGCAATCTGTGTCTCACTTCTAACCAATAGATTATGGCAAAGGTGATAGGTATCACTCTCATGATTTGGTTACATTATATGGCAAAGGTGATGGGGTGTCACAGCTGTGATCATGTTACATTATATAAGACGCTTGTTTATATAAGACTCCATTCTAACAGAGTGGAATGAGAGACTCTCCTTGTAGGCTTGAAGTAAGCGGCCATGTTGAAGAAGCCCATGAGGGAAAGGACTATAGATGACCTCTGGGATCTGGAGGTAGCCTCCAGCTGATAGTAAGTATCCAGGGTTCTTAATAATACAGTTTTGAGAAAATGAATTCTGCAGTTGCCTGAATGAGCTTACAAATGAATTCTTCCTCAGTCAAGAACCTAGAAGAGAATCTCAGCTCCGGCAAACATTTTTTTTAAAAGATTTTATTGGGGAGTTGGGGGAGGGAACAGCGTTGGGGAATCAGGGAGGGGGAACAGACAAGTTGCTGTCCTTTTGTTCTTCAGTCTAGTTGTGGAGGACGTTGCTTCACTGGCCAATGTTGGTATCATCATTGCGCTCTTCCCACGTGAGGCAGATCGGTCGCCGGCCATTGGACAGCCACTCACAATGGCTCACGGCAGCCCACTGCAGCCTATGCCGTCGCCAGCGACTCCCGGCAGCCCAGCTCCAGGTCGAGCTGTTGTTCAGCATCTTAGCTGTACAGGATTCAGCATCACTGGCCCTCATATGGGATATGAACTGGGGCCCTGCTGCTCACACCTGGCGTCCCAAGCCAGCTCTTAACCAACGAGCCACTTGGCTGGCCCTCCAGCAAACATTGTGACTGCAGGTCTATGACACTCTGAAATAGAGGATCCAACTAAGCCATGCCCACAGACTCCTGGTCCACAGAAACTGTGAGATAACAAATGTGTGCATTGTTTAAGACACCAAGTGTGTGCTAATTTCTTATATAGCAATAGAAAACTAATACGATGCAATATATGTGTTCCTGGAAAAACTCACAGTTTATACATCCATGCATCAAATACAAAAGTGTTTATGGGAAAAATAAGGTTGTGACAAACCACTTAAAAAATCATGCTATGGCATTAGCGGAGCACAAACAAAAACAAGGACAACAAAATCCTGGGAAAACTGAAAAGATGGTAAATTACTAACGCATAAAAGAATATTATAGTAAATAAACAGTTTAACATCGCCCAAAAGTGTGAAAGGTTAGTACTGCTAACCTGGTAGTTAGGACTGCTGAGTCATTTGGACAAAGAAAGGTCCAATGCACACGGCGCCGAGAGAACTGAATGATAAGTGCTTCCCAAGCAGGGGAGGTTGTCTAAGCCATTAGGAAAAGCAAGGTGGGGAATGGACATCATGTATAGCGTATGAGTTTGCTAGGGCTGCCATGACAAAGTACCACAGACTAGGGGGCTTAAACAATAGAAATGTATTGTCTCCCAGTTCTGGAGGCTGGAAGACCAAAATCAAGGTGTGGGCAGGGTTGCTTCCTACTGAGGGCTGAGAGAAGGATCTGTCCCAGGCCTCTCTCCTTGGCTGGTAGATGGCTGTCTCTCCCTATGTCTCTTCACATCATCATCCCTCTATGTATATCTCTGTGTCCAAATTTTCCCTTTTCATAAGGATACCAGTCATACTGGTTTAGAGCCCACCCTAATGACCTCATCTTAACACCTCTGGAAAGACCCTATCTGCAAATAAGGTCACATCGTGAGCTACTGGGGATTAGGATTCCAACATATACAGAGAGTGCCAAAAGAAACGGGTCCTAAAAACATGTATACACATTTTAAGAAAGGAAAAAACTGTATTAAAATTATGCTGAATGTAACCACTTTGAGCACCTCCTGTAATTGCAGAAGTCAAACGTGACTTGTATTCATCTTTTGTTATGGGTTTATATTGAGAATTACAATTTTAATAGTTTTTTCCTTTCTTAAAATGCAGATACATTTTTGTGGCACCCTCTGTATTTTTTTTGGGGGGGGGGACACAATTTAACACATAATGTGCAATTGACTCCTGTCTGGATTTCTGGATTCACTGTCAATGTACTTGCATTCAGCCCTGTTACTTAATGGTACAAAAGTTTACGCTGTGATGGGAAAGAAAAAGAGCATGAGCCAAATCAACTTCCCCATCATATTGATGTTATTACTAATCCTCAGTACAGAAATCTGCCCTCTAACAGAACAGTCTAGAAAGCATCTACAGCCTCCTTCACTCGAGTGTAATGACCCTACGTATGTGTATGTTCATACACATACACACACACACACACACACACAGACACAGACACACGCGTATATAAAAGGACATTTATCGAGTGCTCACCACATTCAATAAAGTAACTTGCCCACAGTCACACAGCCAGTAAATGAAATAATCAATAACCAGGAAGGAACTCCAGGTAGCTTTGCTCAACAGCCTATAGTCTTAACCATTACACTGTGGTGTATGTTATGACACAGATGGGAGAGGAGCCATCCACTGGGACTATAGGCATTGCTCTAAGCCAGTATTTGTTTCATACTGGGATCTCAAAGAAGGCTATTTAATGCTTTATTTCCATGTTCATGATAATCTAAAAAAAATTAATAAATGCATATTCTGCATTTTTGCATTATGATCTTCGAAAGAGTTCTGCCGTGTATCAGTGTCCCTGCATTTCCATTTGTGTTTAAGTGGCACTAAATGACCACCTAGAGTGACATCCTTTAGATGCTACTGCACTTTTTCTCACACTATGATCCACAAACTCTTGGGCACTTATGTTTTCTTGAGATAACTTGCCAAGTTTTTTAAATACTCATCTGGCCTAGGGTGAAGGCCTATCATGAACAAGTCAGAAAAGTAGAACATTACACACCAGACTTAAATTCAGAGTAGAGGGCATGGGACACCGAATAGGTCCTTTGGTCTGAAGTAAGAGGTAGGGACCTACCGTGGCCACCTCTACATGAAAACCAAATCTTGTATACTTCTCAATTTTGCTCTGGTTCTGTCCTGATCTACGAGATCAGACAATTAATTTCGCAAAGTCATCCTAGAAAAAGTGCTCCATCCCTCATTGCTGAATATCACTACAGTCACCTTCGAAGTACTCCCCTTGGGAAGCTATGCACCGATGCCAGTGCCTAGTCCACCTTCAAAGCAATTTTGGAGCTCATTTTCTGGAATGGCCATCACAGTGGCCGTCATCTTACCCTTGATGTCCTGAACATCATCAAAATCTCTTTCTTTCAATATTTCCTTTATCTTTGGGTAAAGAAAGAAGTCATTGGGGGCCAGGTCAGGTGACCAGGGAGGGTGTTCCAATACAGTGATTTGTTTCCTGGCTAAAAACTCCCTCGCAGTCAGTGCCGTGTGAGCTGGTGCATTGTCGTGATGCAAGAGCCATGAATTGCTGGCGAAAAGTTCAGGTCGTCTAACTTTTTCACGCAGCCTTTTCAGCACTTGCAAATAGTAAACTTGATTCACTGTGTGTCCAGTTGGTACAAATTCATAATGAATAATCCTTCTGATATCAAAAAAGGTTAGCAAGTTCGTTGCAACAAGTTTGTGAACTCAATTGTCAGACCTCGTATGTATATTTACATACGGAATGACAGAGTCTGAAATTGACTGATTGATTATAAGGAGTTGGCTCACATGATTATGGAGGCTGAGAAGTCCCAAGATGTCCGGTCAGTAAGTTGCAGTCTCAGGAGAGCTGCTGTGTATTTCCAGTCTAACTAAAGGCCTGGATACTAGGAGAGCCAATGGTGTAAGTACGAGTCACAAAGTTGGCAGGCTGAAGACCCAAGAAGAGCCAATGTGTCAGTCTGAGTTCAAAGACCAGAGAAGACCAATGTCCCAGCTGAAACAGTCAGGCAGGAGTTCCCTTTTACTCATCCTTTTTGTTCTTTAAGGTCTTCAAGTAATTGGATGAGGCCCAACCTCATTACGGAGGACAAGCTGCTTTACTCAGTCTACCGATTCAAATGTCAATGTCATCGAGAAATACCCTCACAGACACTCCCGGAATAATGTTTGGCCAAATGTCTGGGCATCTGGTGGCCTAGTCAGATTGAGAGAGAAAATGAACTATCACAAACCCCATAGTTTTGGTTACTACTGTGAATTTTTAAATCATTGTAACCTTGTTTAATTGGCTGTGGTGGCTATGTAGACGTGTTTTTGGTACCTTGTTCTTATGTGTACAAATTGCTGACTAAATCTTCTTCCTAAAACTTATTTTGTAGATGTTTTTGTATTTTCTATGTAGATAATCATATCATCTACAAATAACTTTCCTTCCTTTCTTTGAAAACAATAGACACCTTATTGCTTATTATCTGAAATTTTAGGAGTGGTTAGGAGTGTTGAATTTGTAGCCAACTTCCTGATTTCAATCACAGTTATGGAGCTTCGAGCATAATCTTAAATAAGTTATCTCACGTCTCTGTATCTCAATTTCATCATGATAGTTAGACCTAGCATATATCTTATATATAGCATATATATATGTGTATGTGTGTGTGTGTGTGTATATATATATATATATATATACACACACACACACACATACTGGTCATACCTCGAAGCATTGTTGTGAGAATTAAACATGAGGATTAAATTAAACAAATTTGATGGAAAGTAGTTATAATTTTTCTGGCTTTTATGTATCTTTTTTTCTAGTACAAGGGTACTTCCCCTTAGTTTAAACTCAGCTACACATTAAACAAATTTTTGTTAATCTTATCCCATATTTCTGTGTTTGTAGCAGGATAGAGCCTATCAGCTTACTCCTCTAGATTTCAGGAAGTTGCCAGGGTTAAGTTTTCCTTAAATTGTAGTCTAACTTTGACCTGTACCAAGTCACCTGGGGTGCTTGTTACAAAGGCAGAGTCCCTGACAGCCTAGATAACACCTACTAAAATACAACTTTGGAGCACGGTTCCTGGGAATCTGCATTTTAAATTAAAACATGGTAGGGGTAAAAAACAAAACAAACATGATAGGGGTGCACCATAAAGTTTAACAGACACCTTTTTGGGATTTCCAAATTCGTGCTCCAGGATGGGAAAGACAAGAAAAGCCCTATCGAAGAGTATCCAATTTCAAAGAATTCTTTACTTGATTTTCCATGTGAATCAATTCCCAGTGTCACAAAGTTAAGGGGAAATCCTCAAAGTGGCAGAATAATAGTCTTTTCCTTAATTTCAGAGCATTGTTGACTTAATTTCAGAGCTTCGATAGTGAGTTCCCGTGTTTGAGTGCCCATTGTGTGCACTTCCCTAGCAGAGCTGAAACAAGCAAGGTAATCTCATACTGAGCACTCACATACTGGACTCCAAATCTGGTTTGGTTTAGGTGAAGACAAGGAGGAATTTTCCACTTTGAGCTTACTGGTAGCTGTAGTGACATCTGTTTGAAAAACCTTCTCACACCAATTAAGTGTGGCATATTTTAATTTAGCTCAATAAGTTTGAATAAGTTTGGATTGTGTAACTCAAAGCTTTTTTGTTTTTAGGAGACATTTTCAACCACATTACAGTTTAGTACCTAACCCAGTGAGTTCAATGGTTGCTAAGGGACTATTCAGTTTATGTTTGAACCATCAAAGCTACACCTTCAATAGACATAGAGTTAAGGTTAAGAGATGCAATCAGGCAGCTGGGAAATGTCCTTCTAAATGTGAAAGGATGATTACAGGGCTCACTGTGGAGGCACAGTGCTAATGAGTATTTTTCTTCTCTCTTTCCATATTTAAATAAAGGATCAGGTATGCTGAGCATTCAGCTAGCTAACTTTGAACTCCGGAACAAAACTCAGCATCTTATTACTGGTTGTTTGAGGAACTGAGGTCTTGATCAATGGAAGGAAGACTCCTCCTGCACAGGCATTTGCCGAGAAGAGGAATGTGCTCAAGAAAAGGTCACAAAACATCTCCGAGGGGACCAGAGGTGCAGGAGCCAATGATACTACTCACAGAAAGAAGATTTGGCCTGCTGAAAAAAATCTTGCCCCATCCTGATCTCACAGAGGTTCTATGTATATAAAGTCTTGATTCTTCCCAAGTATTCTGAGGGCTGAACACATGCCATGCCTGCCCACTCACTACATGCTAGCATCTAAGAAAATAAACACACACACACACACACACACACACACTTATGACTGTTTACCAGGAGTCGAGGTCAATGAAATAATAATTTCCCAAGTGTAGCCTCCCTTAGGAGGACCAGTCCTTAGGGCCTCTTGAAAGCTACCTTTTTTTTAATTGGAAAACAGAGTGTTTTGCCAGGACCCATCAGCTCCATGTCAAGTAGTTGTTTCAATCTAGTTGTGGGGGGTGCAGCTCAGTGGCCTATGTGGGGATCGAACCAGCAACCTTGGTGTTACGAGCCTGCGCTCTAACCACCTAAGCTAACCGGCCGAACTTGACAGCTACTTTTAAGTTACAAAAGCTTTTCACAGAAAATTAGGCAGGTATGTCGAAACTGAAACCATTCTTGCAAAAGTGTAAACTACTTCAAGGAAAAGGGTAGAATTGGAAGACATGTTACATTTAGGGAAGACAGTGGCTGTATTAATAGTGGCAACATTAAGCTGTGATGAATAAGAAGGATTAGCAAGTAAAATATGAAATTGACCTTAGGTACTGAGTTCTTTCGATCTTGCTTTAGATCATAACCTATTAGATAGATCAGCAGTGTTTATTAATGTGCAATTTTAGCAAAGAAGCATTTGGGTATTTTCTGCTCATAGGCAGACTCTTCCAGAGAGAACTGCTGCTGCAAACCCTTGAGAACATCCTGTCATCTGTCCTCAGACTATGGCTTTCAAGGCTCATTTCCCGAGGGAAGGCCTTCTACTGGAGGATTGGCCAGGGCCTCGGGCACGTTTCTGCCATTTCTGAAAGCCCTTCTTGCCAATCCCTGACTCCCACCAATCTGAACTCCCCTGAGGTTCCCTGAGTCAGCTGTCCCTGCAGTGAGGATCCCTCAGGCCAGGCCGGCTGAGAAGCGGAAGTGTCTGTGGTGTCTGGTTTTGCTCAGTCACCTGACGGGAATCTTACATATAAAAGGAGACTATTAAGATAGAGACAGAGAAGAAGCACAATGACCACTTCAGGGGGGAAAAGAGGTGAAAAGAGTGTCCCTGTGCCTGCTGTGTTTGGATATTTCTGAAATCTACGTTTGCAATTTCTTCCTTTTCTGAGCCTTGGACTCCTTGACACCTTGGAAAGGAAATCCAAGAAGGAAGGCTCAGGCAGGGGGCAGAGGGGCTGGAGTGCGATCTGCTCCTCGCCGCGCAGAGTGGGGCGAGTGGACAGAGTAACGATGACACTGGGTGTGCTGGGTCTGCGCTGAAAGAGGATGTCTGATGATACGACGAGAATGCAGGGAAGTCGCACCTACGCAGGCCCAGGTGAGATGAGAAACGGGTTGGGAAGGCATCCCACAGGAGGTGCCCCACGAGCTGGATCCTAATACAGAAGTAGGAGTTCCTACATAGAATAAGGGGGCGGCGCAGTGCAGCCTCAGGAGGCAGGGCGGGTTGAAAAGCACAGGTCTAAATCCACTGGCAAAAGACACCCCAACATAGTCAGAAATCCGAGGCAGGCAGATGACCTCGGCAGGGCAATCATCACGAAGAGGAAGTATTTTTTGGGGGGTGGGAGGATAGGGGTAACTGGTGAAGTTTGGGGGGGTGCCCCAGTCATCCTGAGACTCCTGTGAGGGAGCCAGGCTGTGGGGACCCTCCCTACCCAACTAAGCTGGGCCAGCCAGCTTTCGTCTTGCGGAATTGTGGGGTGAGGATCTCAGCCTGAGGTCAGCCTGTGATGGCATTGGGGTGAAAAGTTAAGGGACATATAGGCTTGGGCAGCCATTTCCTGCCTCCAGGATGCCCTTGAAGGAGAGTGCAACTTCAAGAGCGGCTGAGAGTAAAAGGTGGAAAGCTTGCAGAGACAAAGAAATGGGGGGCCTCCGAGAGTGAGAGCTAGGCTGGCCCGTTCCTGCCTCCAATTCACTGCAGGAGAAACAGCCTCTCTGCAAAGCGTGGCATGAGCAGACACAAAGAGAGAAGCGATGACAAGACAGCCACGGCCAGGACATGTCGTGGGTCCTTTCCGTGTTTGACTGTGGTCTCTCTCAGGGCCCAGCTGGCCATTCTGCCCTTGGCTTTTGCAATGTCTCCTCATTCCCTTCCCATAAATTCTGCCTTTGTTCCAAATCGCATTGACGGGGACTCTGATTCTAGCCCCCCAATCCCTGGTAGAGACACAGGGAGACCAAGCAGGATGCGAGACCCAAACATGGCAGGCGCTGTGGGGACAGGGAGGGCAGGCCCCACACCTTCTGGGCTAACCAGGTCTGGAGGGCGAGGGCAGACTGAAGAAGGCTGCAGGCTCCTTAAGGGGACACAGTGAGGACCTACCCAGCGACAGCAGCTTGTTTAGGTCTGCGGCATCACCTCCTGGTACAGGATCCTTTGGGTTCCGTCCTCTGGGTCAGGACCTCTGAGTGAAGGTCAGGCCACATCCTGAAAGGTCATCGATCCCTAGAAAGTCAAAGAGAGGCAGAGATATTGGTCCTGTGGCCACAGGATGGGATTAGTGTCTGTCACTCAGTAATTGGAAAAGATCCAGGGGAACCTAAGGTCCGTATCACTGTGCATCTCCTGAGGGCCTAGCTCTGTGCTGGGCTCAGGGGGAGGCAGATGCTACCTTTGAACAGAATACAAATGTGTCCGAGTGAAAAGTCTTCCATGGGGGAAGCCATCGGAAAATGACACAACAGCAAGCCCTGTGTCCCGAGAGGAGCAGATAGATAGTAAGCACTGGAGGATGTCAGAGGGAGGAGGAAATCATTTTAACAATAATCCTAACACCAATAATGATAGCAGCAGCTGCTGAGTCTTTCTGGTCCTCAGCAGGTGCCTGGCTCCGTGCTGAGCGCTTCACATGCCATATTAAAGTGATGAAACGTCCCCAGCACCGGAGTCAGACAGACTCCTCCGTTTGAATCCCACTCCTTGAATCTGACACTTGCTGGCTGTGTGACCTTGGGGGTGTCACTTCATTTCCCTGCGTGCCAATGTCTGTATCAATACACTGATAGTTGCCATTTCAGCAGGTATTGTGAGAATGAAAGAGAACTGCTCACGAGGCAGATGCTGGAAGGCCGGGCTCATGTCTGTCCTTGGTGTGTTTTTGCAACTTGTACTCATCTTCCCACGGCCCATTGAGGTCAACACTATCATCATCTCCTTGTGACAGGCAGCGCGCTAAGGCTCAGGGAGAGGCAACCAGAAGTCAAACAGAGTCTCATGTCTAATAAGCACAGATCTGACCTCAGGTCCCTCTGGCTCAGGGTCCATGTGTATCACCCACATATTGCTCCATCACCACAATGGGGTGGAGGATGAACATCCAGCAAATGATCTCACAGTCTGGCCCTCAGGGACATGTCTCAGCAAAGGGCCCCTCAGTCACCACACAGGCCCATGTGCTTCCCTCTGCCTGGAATAGACCCATGCCCTCCTCATCCCTAAGCCTAAACCCACTCTGCAATCTTGACTTTCAGTGTCACCCCCAGGTTAAGTATCGTCATGGTTAAGAGTGGAAGCTCTGGTGGCTGACATACTGAGCTTGCGTTTCTACTACTTGAGAGCTCTGTGACCTTGGGCAGGTAACTTAACTTCTCTGAGCCTCAAGTTCCTCTCCTATAAAGATAACAGAATCTCATTCTAAGGAGGTGAGAGTTAAAGTGGTACATTATGACTGCATATCAAGGGCTCAAGGAAGACCAACTTTGATGATTGTTTTGTTTTTAGTATTTTCCCCACTTGCTCCCTCACCATCCTGGAAAATCTCAACCCAGCTTGCATCTTTGCTTTTGTAATTGTGCCAAGTTCCCTGCACCAAAAAAAAAAAAAAAGCCAACATGAGGGCAGGCAGGGACAGGGGCTATTTTAGCTAGAACTGCCAGGAAAAGCATCTTCAAAGAAGGGGCATTTGAACAGAGCCTGGAAGGATGGAAAAGGGCAGCCAAGCAGACATGCGGTGACGTCGGTGTTCCGGTAAGAGGGAACTCCACGGGCAAAGGTGGGGAAGTGGGAACAGCTGGGCAGATTCAGGTTTGCATGGCGGGATGGCAGTTGAGGAAGGGAAGAAGATAAGGAGACAAGGTCAGACATGGTCCCTCAGGAGGGGGCATTCCAAAGCATGGCAGGGAGGTTGGACTTATTCTAAGTGTGATAACAGCCCCGGAAGGGGAGCGAGCGCCGTGCCCTCATTTACGGGGCCTCCGATACAGACCAGCAGGGCTCTAAGGCCTGTGGATACACCATGAAGAGCTCACATTGCAGGGCTGGAGACAGGTCATCCCCCAGGAATTTAAAAAATGATCAAGAGAATCCTGAAGATACCAAAATAAGAGTGAGATGAGAGAGATTGGGGGTAACTTTCCATGGGGCAACCATGAAAGGCTTCTCAGTGGAGGGGACACTGGGGGGGGGGCTAGGATGAGGTGAGGGATCGAGCCATGTGGATGACAAATTTAAAAATAAGGCAAGTCCTGGGGTAACCGGTTAGCTCAGTTGGCTAGAGTATGGTGTTGCTAACACCAAGGTTGCCAGTTCGATCCCCGCATGGGCCACTGTGAGCTGCGCCCTCCCTAAAAGAGTCAATTATGCCATTGTAGCATGAAAGCAATGTGTACCCAATGACCACGGCTGTTCCCCATGAAAATTATAAAAAAATAAATAAAAATAAGGCAAGACCTGACAACGATCAGGGCTATGATGAGAGTAAACAGGATGGCTGCTGGAGTTAACTGGGCCTGGCACACGTTTACAGCTAAGGGGACGCCTGGGTTCAAATGACAGTGCTGCCTACTAGCTGCAAGAACTTGCACAGGACTCAATCTCTGTGCCTCTGCGTCTTCATCTGTCATAGGGCTGTTGTTGGTATCAAACGCTTTAGTAATACATGGCAAGTGCTGGGTATTTTCTTTTACTGGCCACAGGATGAACACTTTGGAAAACCCTTGTGGTGCAAATAAGGTGACGAGCTTTTGAGAACATGGGTGGCTTTCCTGCTTTTTCAGCACATAAGAGAATGTGACATTTAAGACACTTGATCTTAATCCAAGGTTTAGAAATAATTCTTCAAACCGTTAGTAAGAATTTGCGCAAATGTAACTAGTTAAATCTGTACATTTTACATTTCTGTTGTGTTTTTATTTCGAGAAATGTTGAAAGACGCAATGATTTCATAAATCAATCAATACATTCTGAGGGCAGTGTGGTGTTAGCTCCTTCAGCGATGCCGCCTGCCTGCTGCCTGCTCCCCTGAAGAAACGGCTCAAGGAACCTTCCAGGGAAACACTAGATCACCCCTCCTCCTGCCGAGGGCCTCAAACAGCTGGATGTGTCGGCACACTCTTGCCCTGGTCTGGCCTGGGTTTCTCTAGCGGCCTAGCTAACTTTTGTCTTGTTCTTAGGGAATAGACACAAGGTCCTGCTGAGCCCACAAGACACTAAACATACTCCATCCCATGGCTCGGTCTGTCTATCCCTGCCTGGCTCCATCTCCGCTACAGGCCTTCCTTCTGTCGCCTAACAGCCAGAACCCCCTGGCACTGAAGGCCCCTCCCCTGTGGAGGCAGCGCCAGTGATGCCCCCCTCCTACGCGTACCCTCCGGCCCTTCCGTCTCTCACTTCTGGCCCATGTGAAATGATAACATTAAGATTCCCTCCCCGAAACCTGATCCCCAGGCTATGCCCTGGTCCAGGTCTAAAGCCCCCCTGGATCTCCCTACTGTACACCCCTCCTAAAACCGCAGCTGCAACAGCTCAAAAACCACCAAGTCCAAAATCCAACCTTTGACCTTTCCCCCAGAACCTACTCCATCCACGCAAGTTCTCCATTCTTCCAGATGTTCAGCAAAAAAAAAAACAACAGGAAAAAAAAAAAACTTAGGATGGTACTTCATTCCCTACTTTCGCTGGCATCATCTGATGCAGCAGGAAGCCCTGGGGGCTCTATCCTGAGGCTCTATCTGGAATCGGGTTCCTTGGGCCTGCTCCACCGCCATCACTCCGGTCTGGACCCCATCATAAACTCTCCCCACCCCTACCTTCACCTGGCTCCCTCCAGCCCCCAACATCCCCTGAGCAACCTTTGGGAAAATTTTAAATTCTGACCCCAGATTGTGTCCCTCTTCTGTTCACAATGCCCCATGGCTTGGAGCGCCCTGGGAATGAAGGCCCAGCAGTTCAGGTTGCCACTTCAGGTGTGACTCCCATCATGCTCTCTATTCCTTTCAGCCACCACAGGGATCCTGGGTTTCCCCCAAGGTTTCCCAAATGCTCCCGATTCAGTAGCACATTTAGGCCTTTTCACAAACTGGCTCCTCTGCCTGCACGTCGCCCACATCTCTCACTGGCTGTCAGCTATGGGGACCCCCACTCACGAGCACCCCACTGTCCTGACCACAGCGGCCTGGGCTTAATGATCTGAGCAGGCGCCCTCATTCGGGGCTTTGGGATTCGGGTCGGGTGACGACCTGGGAACGGCAGCACCCACCTGCGCCAGGTCCAACAGCGCAGCCGCCGCCATCGGAGCCTGCAGGCGGAGTGAGGCCAGGAGCAGCGGGCGACAGGGCGGGAATCCGGGCTCCGTCGTTCCCAGCGACGGGTGACACCGGGCGGCGACAGTGCCAACCCTCAGACCTGCATCTGTGCAGCGGGGACAACGTTTTCTCTCCCGTCACCTCGGGTATGGCATAGTGCTGCGGAGCCTCTCATCCGGTGGCCTAGGCCCAGCACAGATAAAATAACCGCCGCGAGAACAGGGCCAAGGTCCCGCCCCGATGTGGCGCCAAATGCACGGAAACATCCCTCTCCGGGTTTTCCATTGGCTCGCGGTGGAGAGCCTTCTGGGTAATGTAGTTCCGCAGCCCAGGCAACGGCTAAGGGCCTGGGAGCTATTATAATAAACGTGGTCTCATTCCATACACCTGGCCTAAAGTTTTAAAGTCAGTTTTGTAAATATCACAATTTTCAGTCAGGGACAAGAGAAAAAAGACTTCCGACAGGACCATGGTGGCAAAGATGGAGGAGTCATGCCAAGTGGCCCTGAAGCAGGTAAACTAGGGTGGCTCTTCAGTCTGGTTCCCTCAGGAAAAAAAAAAAAAAGAGAGAAAGAACTCTCTCCTGCCTGTATAGTTAGAGATTGTGTTCCAAACCAGCAAGCAGTACTATTTTATCCAGATATTTCTTACTGCATATCCTGAGATACATTCAATCCCTTTTAGGAATTTGAGACCTAGGTGGGAAAAAAAAAGTGACTTACCAAGTGTCATTTCCTGTGGGGACAGTGGCTACAGCGGTCACAGCACTTGTGAACAGGGACCATCTGAACCCTGAGTAAAAGTTTGGGATACCATGATCTCGTCTGCTTGCTGGAAAGAGATTATCATTTCACCTGAAGACTCAGCCAGTGTCTGCATAGGGAGTTGAGATTATGTCAGAAAAACAGTTGTGAAATGTCTACTTAATTAAAGCTACTAATAATGATTATGCAGTTATTTATTGTAAGCTAATGGCAGAAATAGCTCTGGGTAACATGTCTGACATATGAAAAAGACTTTTTTGACCAGGTCTGGTAAAAAAAAAAAAAAAAGACTTTTTTTGACCAGGGAACACTGCAGTCTGAGAAGCTGACAACATGGTTACATTGGAAACTGGGCTAATCTGAGGCTTTGACTTTCTAAAGTGGGATGCTTTTATCATTCTTGAGAACACTGAGCAATACCGACTTGGAGAGATGCAAAGTGGGAACTGAGAACAGGGCTTCCAGAATGGTAATGACCAAGTGATAATTCAGAAAAGAGCTTTCAGAATGGTAATGACCAAGGGCTCCCATAATTACTCATAAGTAACTCGTTGGTTTAACCGACTGTTACTTAGCTTCTCTCCTCTCCGCAGACCCCTAAATTGTGGCTCACTCTCAAGCTTAAACAAGGACTAGGGTGCAGCTCATTTCTGACTGTCCACAAGAGAAATATTTCCTGTTAAACTGCCCCAATCCTGCTGTCTATTCACCCCCCACAGCTTCCCCACCCCTCGGCAAAGTTCCTGCTAGCCCCACATATCCCTCCCTATTACGACAAGCTTTTTTCTGTTTGATTTTGAGACACCCGTGGATCTTGTGGAGACAGTATTCTCTCTATTGCAGTAGTCTTTTCAAATAAAGTCTCCCCTTAGCTGACTCTGCGTTTGTTTTATTTGACAGTTGCACAGTGCCATGACTGGACTCAAGATTGGACTGCACTCAGGGAACCCTGTTATCCCCGCCCAGGTAACTAATGGCACCTTGCAAATCCTTTGAACTCCTCTCTTGAATTTGGGAATCCATTGGTGAATTCACTTCTCATATCAGTGCTCTGCGCATCATGTGTGTTATAGCATGGTAAGGAGTGACTTTGAGTCTTTTGAGCAAAGAAAGTTTTCTTTGGCATTTTGAGTGCACTCATTCCCTGAGTTTTGAGCAGCAAACTCCCCTACCTACTCTTCTGTGTTTCTTTGGCTCCCCTAGAGGGGGTTGGGGAGGGAATTTCCTTGGCCTGTCAGGCAGGGACAGTGCCAGGGAATAATTTAGCATGAGTCTTTCCTGGCTCCTTTAAAGTCTTCTGTCTGATTTAAGTAACTAGTCCTATGGGTAACTCTCACTCTATTTCTTCTTCCCCTGCTCTACTGTTATGGCATTCATTGAGCTCAATATCTTGAAAATGGCAAAATTTTGCTAAAGGCAACTTAGAGCTTCAATGGCCTCTTTGGGAAACATGGGGTCTCCCCATACTGTCTCATCAATTACCTAACCCTTCCCATCACCCCACTCTCCATCCTTCTTTCTCCTTTTCATGACCTTCAGACTCCCCTTCAACTCCCTTGAATCCTTTGCTCTCTCTGGCCCCCTTCAACACTCCTACCTCCTCCATCCCTCTATCCAACTCTGCTGATCCATTTCCACCCCACTTCAGCCCTTCAATGTCCTATAGTCACTTGAGCTCGAGGCCCCTCTCTCTGTTGAGGACTCCGAGGTCCCAAGAGCAAACACTCAGTGCTGAGAAAGCTAATTGGAAACAGGCTGGATGATTTATTAACTCAGATGAGCTTTACAGATACCCAGTCGAGCTTTAGAGACACTCAGATGTCACGTGGTGCGTTCTCAGTCCATCACCCACAATTCAGTCCACAGCCTCCATAAGATGACATATCAAGACAGAGAAAATCTTAAGGGTCTCCTCCACTAATATTGTTGGGGACACTTCAGCTCTCCTATTGAGTAGGTAACCTCAACTTGCTCTATCTACCAGAAATGCAACCCTGATTTTTTAAAAACATGTAAAGGTGGTCAAGGGCAAGAGCCAGCTCTTTTATATAAAACCAATGAGTTAAATTTTTTTATTTAAAGCTATTAGTTTTCTATTTGTGCCTGGCTGGGTACTTACATATGTATATTATGTATGTCATTTTCCTACCGCCAGATAGTGCCACCATATTAGACTATAAAATACCTTAAAGGAATTATATTCTGATTGTCTTAGAGACAAATAAGTACCTGTACTTCTGTAAATTAAATATTCCTAAAATTCTCAAAAGTTAAGGAAATGTAACAGCTAAGACTTTCAAAAATATTCTTGTAGAAATAAGCCCACATATTTTAAAAACTCAAGTTCATATGATTTAAGTAAACCTTGGCAAACGTGACTAGTTTAATGAAATCAGCTATGTCTCCTGAGTTATAAAGTTTAGACAAAATATAAGCATACATCTTTATTCTATTTGGGATATTGTTCCTAAACTTATACAGGTTTACTGATTGAATAGACTAGCACTACATCTATTAAATATTTAAGGTTATAAAAAATGTAAATTGATGTTCAGCTAAATTAAATCATTATCCTGACAAATTCATATTAACACTATGTTTTATATTATGTCAGCTTGAAACAGTTTTTAAGATCTTTTTTTGTATTAAAACCTTTAGACTTATGCTAAATTAATGAGTCAATATTTATTAAATAACTAGGTCATTTTTAAATTAGATAAAATACTGAAATATTAATTACTAAGCATACTTTTAAAGCTACATATGTTTGGATCTATTAATAAACATATTCATTTTTACCTCATTGAAACGTTGTACTGTAAGGGATAGCTATGACTATAAAACTATTGTGAAATGTATATTTATAAGCGCTGCTAGTCTGCTACAAAATACTATATGACAGACAGTTCAGAAGTACCCACCTCCTGGTTTTCTCCAAAATATAAGTTCCTGTGAATGAATGTTATAATCAGCTTATGTGAATAAAACGACTAGGAGCACTAGTAGCATATGAAAACAACACTGTATGTAAAGTATAGAAGATATATTTTTATTAAGAAAAAATGTTTTGTCCTAAAGTAAAATGACTGGTTGTTCCAAAATAAAAAAGAAGAAAATGTAGGATAAAACTTGGCTGGATATAAACAGCTGTAAAGGGGAATTTTATTTTATGTGTTCAAGCTGGAGAAGGATTAGTGGGTTTATTTATAATTTTTTAAAAAGTAAATTTAATGTCAAATATTATACTAAGGCAAAACTGGAATTTGGTTTTTCTCTCAGTAGAATGACAAAATTTTCTTCGATTGTTGATCTTCTCTTAAAAAGAAATTATAAAAATGTTCCTTTGGTTTCTAAGTAATTTGCCTAAAGGGCAAAAGTACTGTGTCGTATCAGAGTAATTCCCTGGGTTTTTGTGTTGATTTTATCGTATCCATGATTAAGAAACTCAAGTCTTTTCAATTTTAAAAGTTCTAAAGTTCTTTACAAACTGCCACATTTTTCAGTTTTTACTCTGGGAAATAACCAGGATTGTGGACAGTCTTGCCAATCTACCAACGTGATCATCATAGAACTACAATTCCAACAAATGGGCCTCTAACATTGCCTGGCATTGGACGTGATCGGGACTTCCCAGAGGGGCTCTTACACAATGGTCAGTGGTTAGAAGTGGCTGCTGTGCCTGTGTTCCCCTAAACATCTCTGCTGTCTATGCCATCACCAAAAATATTCAAAACACAAACCAGCAAATTCATCAGATCGCCACTGCGATTCTCACTCTGCCATCTAAGGACACTTTGGGTCCAATGTCTTGGAGTTCTCTTGACTGGCACCCTTCCAACCTCAGATGTTGGTTTTACTCCCTTATTCAACTTTTTTTTTTTTTTTTTTTAGCTGAGCCGTCCTGCTACCTGTTGGCAGCTCAGCGGCTGCTCAGCTCGGGCTGGACTCGAACCGCTGTTGCTCAGAGCTCAAACTCTTGAGNGCGGCTGCTCAGCTCGGGCTGGACTCGAACCGCTGTTGCTCAGAGCTCAAACTCTTGAGCGAGCTCTTAACCAACTGAGCCACTCGGCCGGCCCTCCCTTATTCAACTTTTAATGATCATTCTTTTAAATTACATTCGCAGGCATACCTGTCACCAGTGCTTTATCTCTAAGACCCTCCAACAGCTGTCAGTTGACAAGATGCTCAACATGTAATACAACTAATCCCTCAAAGCCAACAAGAACGTGGAGGCCAGCTCAGCCCTGAAAACTAGTTTGACCAACGTTAACCTCACGATGACTATCCATAATAGTGTTGAAAGTCAGGCTTTGCTTATCTTAAACAACAACAGCGGGGACTGACCAAGTGCTCACAATGATCTGTAATGTACCCATGACTTGGTTTGACCCAACTTTAGTCAGGCTTCTCTCCTCCTCACAGGCCCCTGAACTTTGGCTCACCCCCACGCTTAAGAAAGCACTAAGATGCTGACATCTCCCTCCCCACCCCCTTACAGCTCATTCTGAGAATCAACTAACCACGCACAGAAACATTTCCTGTTAAACCATCATGCTGTCTGCTTGCCCCCACCACTTGCTGCCCACCAAGTTCCTGCTATCCTTGATTACCCTTCCCTATGAAAGAAACACCTTTTTCTGTTCAGTTTTGAAACACATGCAGAACTTGTGGGCAGAGCATTCTTCCCTATCACAATAGTGTTTTCTTTTCTTCATTTTTGCTTTTGTTTTGCAATAGTGTTTTCAAATAAAGTTTCTTCTTACCTAATTGTGGATTTGTTTTCATTCGACAGTAAAAATGAACAGGAATTCTGTGGTGTGATGTTTATTTCTCACTCAGCAGATATTAACTAAACCCCTACTGTTTCAGACACAGCTGTGGGAACAAGGGACATATCAGTAACCAAAGGGATATGGATCCCTGCCCTCAGGGAGCCTATGTTGTGGTCAAGGACGATGGGAGGTAAACATTAACAAGAAAATATTGCAGGGGCCGGCCGAGTGGCTCAGTTGGTTAAGAGCTCGCTCAAGAGTTTGAGCTCTGAGCAACAGCGGTTCGAGTCCAGCCCGAGCTGAGCAG